TCATTTGTCTATTTGTTTTCCTGGGAAACTACCTTATAGATAACAATATGTAAAACAATAACCATTGATAATTTCCTACCACTTTGTCTGTAATTTGGTAAGCCCCTCCTATTATTATGTTATCCTTCTTTTACTCTTTAAAATAAAAAAAATTTAAAAAAAAGAATAGTTTTATCCTCAATAAATCATGACGACGGTGTATTTCCAACCCCCACCCACTGAAGCAACACTATTTAGCACAGTGTGTGTGTGTGTGTGTGTGTGTGCCTGTGTTAGGATCTGAGGTTTGTGTCCCTCAATTCCTGTGTGTTTTTGTTTTTTGTTTGTTTGGGTTTTTTTTTGGTTTTTTTTTCCAGTACCGGGAATTGAACTCACGACGTCGCACTTGCTAGGCAGGCGCTGTGCCACTGAGCTAAATCTCCAGCCCCCTCAATTCCTGTGTGGAAGCTCAAACTGCTGATATGACATTTGGAGGCCAGGCTTCGTAAGAAAAGGAGAAAAGACAGATGGGGACATGGTGGGAGTGGCCACCTGCAGGCCAGGATTTGCTGAATCTACCAACACCATGACCTTGGACTTCCAGCCCTCAGAACTTTGAGAGATAAATGCAGCGTAAGCCACCCCACCTGTGGTACTTGGCTACAGCAGCCCGAGCAGACTGCGCAGGGGAAGACAACCCAGAACAAACGACCGCTTTCAGTTCCAAAGGAGATATTCTGGGGTCCACAGCAAGACCATCCTCCTGGAGACCTTGTTGGAAAAGAAACAAAATTGTGAAATAATAATCTGTAATCCTAGCTCTGTGGGAAGCTGAGGCAGGAGGATGGCAAGTTCTAGCCCAGCCTGGGCAATTTAGAAAATGTACAAGACTCTTATCTTAAAATTAAAAATAAAAAGGGCTGGGGGTGTAGTCCAGTGTGAAGGCCCTGGATTTAAACCCCAGGACTGCAAAGAAAGAGAAAGCCACAGCCCACCAGGAACTAACAGAGCCCCCCACAGCCTTGGCGGCGGACGTCCAAGCTGGCAGGTAAACATGGGCTTCCTCGTCTGGCAGGCAAAGACAGCTCCGTGCTGCTCCCCAAGGCATCCCACACTCACTGAACCCCAGGGCCCAGCTGCCCAACAGCACCCCTGCCCTGGCTGCCTCCCCAGCCCGCCCCCTCCCACCTCACCTCCCTAAGAAAGGACTTGGATCAAAGCCCTTGCTCGAGATCTGCACCTGGGGAACCTCAGTCCCAGCTACTTCCTGTCACCAAGCAAGCACAGAGCTGGACTGCTGAGCACTGAGGCTCCCATAGGCTGGGAAAAATGTTCTCCCTGTGGGGACAGCAGCTCCCTGATCCTAAGGGACAGCTGAGATCCGAGGCCGGGGTCACTAGGATGCTGGCGAGTGGCCTCAGCCTCCTCCATCTCTGGAGTCCCTGGTCTCAGGTCAGGGGCCCAAGGACGCAGCCTCTCTCTTCCTCTGAGGGGCGGGATGTGGGGCGTGGCCATCACCCAGCTGTAGGAAGTGGGAGGTGGCCAGGTGACCCGCTGGTAGGGCTCCTGCAGGAAGCCAGCTCCAGCTCATAGCCACCTGCTGCAGACGCTCCGCTCTGCAATCCCTGCTGAGTCGGGGGGACAGGCAGTGGCTGTTCCTCCAGCGAGCGACACAAGCACACAGACTGATCAGCTCCGGGCCTTCTGAGCTGTGGCCTTCATAGCTGCTCCTCTGTCACAGCCCAACCACTGACCCCTAAGGACCTCAGACCCTTGCTGCTCCTCTTCCCAGACCTCCTGTGGCCTGTCTATCCCCTGCCACTCTGCCAGACGCCCCTCGGCAAGGTGGCCCATGACTGGCAGGTGGCTAAACGCACGGTGGGACTGGCCTTGTATCACTGAGCACTGGATAGAGATCACCCTCCCTCAAACATTCTCCATGGCTCCTAGGGCCTCACCCACACTGTTTCCCGCCCCGTGCTGGGGCTTGGCTGTGGTTTTTCCCCGTGCATTGGAGGTATGGAGGTTGAGGCAGTTAGACCTTATAAGGCGGGGACCCCCAGAACTGGGAGCTAAGTATACCTCCCTTCGTTACCAGTCACCCAGCCTCGGTGCTCTGCTGTGGCCACACAGATCAGCCTGAAAGCTGGGCCACACCTCCTCGGCTTCCTCAGCCTCCTGCGTCCGTCCTGCACAGGGCGTCTCCCCGGCACTGCTCCCTGCAGCTGAAGTTGCCCCATGTGCCCAGCCTGGGCCTCTCTGCCCTAGATTCTTGCACAGCTCCTCCTGTTCCCACCTTCTCCCCCTCTGCCTGTGGCTTGTTCTCCATTGAGCCAAAAGCAACATATGGTATCTCTCAAATCCCTCCAGTGACTTCCCACGTCACCAAGCAAAGGCCGGGTCCCCTGTGATCTGACCGCCTCCCACGCCCCACTCCTCCTTGCACTTCCCACTGGCCTAGAACGTTCCCTGCCCTCCACTGCTCCTCCCTCAGGTCTCCGCTCAAGTGCTGCCCTTGGGGAGCCTCCTGACTACCCTATGCTACCATCGCAAGGCCTGGCACTTCCTGTCTGGCCTCTCTGTGTCATCACAAAACACCATCTGGCAGGACAGAGGGTGGACGAGGGTGGTATTTCTCACTGACCACACTCTGCCCGGAGCCTCCTGGGCCCCAGCAGGTGTTCAGTACACAACGAACGACACCCAGCTCCCATGGCAGGGACTGCAGTACCCCTTTGCTGGGCACAGAGGTTACTGTTCTTGCTGGACATCCCACAGCTGGGAGTGAGAAGAAAGCAGGGCTCCCTCTCTGCTTTGTCTGCAGGGTTTGCTCTTGCAAGCCGAATACTCACAGTGAAGAGTGTGTTCGGCAGCAGACAGACCTCAGTCCAGAGCTGGACTTCAGGCCCAAAGGTTCCAGAGCCAGCTACTCATACTCCGTGAGCCTCAGCTCCCCCGCAGGCAAAAGCAGGCAGACAAAAGCAGCTAGTCAGATAGAAGTCATGACCTCAAACGCGCTGGGGACCCAAAGCAGCCATGCTTATTATTACTTTTATCAATATCTAAAGCGAGGCTTCCTCCTGCATGCCAGGCACATCCGCCGTGCATCTCAGGTGCATTTCCCACGCGCCCCCACAACCCTCCCTCCTCTTCGTCAGAGGCACGGGAGATGAGCTGTTGACTGATATGATAATTTCACCACAATAGCCAACTCAGTCATTTCCTCCAGCAGAGAGATGCTTTGGTCCAGGATCTAGCAGACTTGCAGAATTCTCGGCTGCTGGTTCCTACACAATGGAGGAGCACTCAGAGAGGCAGAGGCAGAAGGACTGCAAGTTCAAGCCCAGCCTGGGCAACTTAGCCACCTTGCTAGACCATCTCACGATAACAATGGAAAAGGCACTGGGTTCCACCCCCAGTACTAGAAAGAAAAGAAGGCAGTGAGGAACCTACTTAGCAAATCTGGGCAGCTGTGGCGCCTTCAGAACGAGAATACAAGGATGTCACAAATCTACCGCTAGGGATATGGGAGGTGCTTTTGATGGACTTGGCACTGTAGACCCTGGTCACCTTCCTGGTTTCAGAGACGAGGAGACCAAGGGACAGCTCCAGAACCACGATGGGTCTTCAGTGGAGCCGGACCTGAACACAGGCTGCCCGATGCAGAATCCAGGCTCTCCCTGCTGGTCACTGTCCCAGGAAAAGTCCAGGCCAGCGCTTGGTTCATGGGATCCTCAAGACAGGGCCCTCGAGATCAAGCTGTACGAATGGGAAGAAGCACTTCACCCACTGTACTTCTAAAGGATCCCCTTCTCCCATGGGAGGTGGGCAGGGCCTGGGATGGTTCCTCCTTTGACACAAAATGGGAAACTGGAGCCTAGAGAAGATGGGTCATATAGGAGCCGTGGTCTGTCAGTCTGGGAGTGGAAGGCAGGCTCCACTGAGTTCCCAGCAGCTCTAGGACTCTTAGCTTATACTGAGCTGGAAGAGAGAAGCAGCCCCGCCCACTCGTCCCACTCCACAACCTGGGTTGCTCCTGCAGGATCCTCAGGGCAGCCTCCTCCTGCCCCATCCCGTTGCCATGGCAATGACTGTGGTGCCTGGACCACATCCTACACTCCATCTACCTGCTGAGCTGCCCTTCAGTCTGTCTTCCCTCCTTGGACTGCTCCATTAGACACCAAGGACACCTGCCTCCATGCCCCTCTACAGCTGGGGTACCCCAGTCTTTCCCTCAAAACACTCCAGCAAGCAGTTAAGAATCCATCCCGAGGAGAGCAAAACTTCTCACCATGATGAAAGTGGCCAGTCTGGGTTGTCCAATCTGTCACACTCACCTCACGTGGCTCTTCAAGCCATGCCTAAGATATGGCTAAGGAGACAGAGGGATCAGATTTTAAATCTGATTTAGTTCAAATTAATTGAGAAATTAACCAGCCACATGGGACTACTGGGGACCACGTTGGACAGCGTCGTTCTGGAGCCCATTTCTGAAGCAGGCTCCTGCCGTGCGCCTGGCCTCCGACCTTCCTGCTGGGAACAGGGCAGCTCCTGGTCCCCCAGTGTCCTGCCCCCACTCACAGGCTTTTCTCTGCATCACCCCCACTCGCAACTCAAAAGATAAAAACCCTCGTCCACGTACCAATGTACATCTCACCTTTTATTCCAGCATCTCCCAGAGCTCCAATATGTACAGATTGTATTTATACACATATAATATACACCATATATACGTATTTATATATATTCACACACCAGCCCACGCGCTCAGACACTCACACGTACACACCCTTCCTGGAGGGCCGCGTGGCCCATACCAGTGGTACCAGGCTCGCCAGGCAGTTGTGAGGTTTTGTGGTTTTTGCTTTTAAAAAGGCCTTTTCCTCCAGATGTGTCCTCTCTCCCCAAACCCTAAAACCCTTCTCTAAAACACTGAATTTTTTTTTCTTTTTTTTTTTTTTCTAAAAACATGAGGTTTTCCTCAGCTCTGCCAAGGCAGTTTCTGGAGAGTCCAGGCCTGTCGCACAGCCCCATGCAGGTCCTTGGGGCCATTTCCGCCCCATGCTCCTGGTGGGGCTGGACCCAGGGCCTGGCATGGCTGCAGGCGGGCGGCTGTGGCTGCGGCTGCGGCTGCGTCCTCCAGGTGGACGGGGCTATAGCATCAAGGGCACCTGCCAGATAAGGAGGGTGCTGTCTGTCTCCCCACACGGGGCCGGCCTCCCACTGCCGCCCAGGGCGCTGCCGAAGTTGCGGTAGCCCTGCCCGCCAGAGATGATGGCCACGGAGCAGATCTCTTTCCGGTGGGCGTCGCGGGTGCAGGGCCGGCTGCGCACCCAGACGTCGGGGTCGTCGGCCATCTCGTAGATGGAGCCGTCCTCCTCGCTGTGCTCCAGCGCCGAGCTGTCGGCGGGTGCGGGCTCCCTCATGGACAGCAGCGGCCCGGGGAGGTGGGCCGTGGAGCGCAGGCGGTACTGCAGCAGGATGCCCTTCTTGCGGGTCAGCTCCCGGCCCACGTGGCTGTCGGGCGCGGGCGCCGGCTCCTGGGCCTGCCCGTCCAGCTTGTCTTCCTCAGCCCGCGGTCCCTCCGCCTCCTCCTGGTCACTGCGCAGGATGTCGGGGGCAAGGATGCTGGTTGCCACAGCCAGGAAGGCTACAGGCCCACAGTGGCCATTGAGGGACACCATGCCTTTACCTGTGCATGGGGCAAGGCCAGAGCATTAGGCGGGCACCTCCGGATCTCTCCCGGGGAACACTTTGGCTGGGCTGTACATGCGGGCAGAAGGGATAACTGCAGTCTATGTTGGCCCTACCCAGGGGCCCATGGACTGACTTCCCATCTCCAGAGCTACTAACAGCAGAGGGGCAGTGACCTCAGACAGCGCTGGGGGCACCTCTATGAAACTCCTTGGCTGAGAGCTTCCTCCTGGCCCCGGGCCTGTGCCCAAGCCATCGCCTCCACCCAGCAGAGCTCTTCCTCAAGGCCCAGCTCCAGCCTCACAGCAACAAGTCCCTCCTGAGGCACCCCAGGGAGCTGCCCTCCCCATCTCCCCATCCCTCTGGCCCTGGGAATGCCCCCACCCCGGCACCTGCGGCCTGCACCATTGCTGCCCACAAGACCCCTGCACTCCAAGGGCAGCTCTCTGTCCTGCTCGTCCCTGCATCCCAGGTCCAGGAGACAGTCATGAGGACAGGGCATGTGGAAACCTAGGAAGGGTGTCCCTTGGCAGAGGGGTTCAAGGCTGGGCTGGGCAGGGCTGGGCCACAGCCAGGGCCGCTTTCCCTTCCTCACCCCTGTGCTCTGGCAGCAGCCGGAGGAGACCCCATTCTCACCCTCTCGGAGCAGAGGCAGACAGGGGCCCAAGGCTATAGTATCCAAATGTCAGAGGTCCTCCCTGACCTTGCCCTTGTTGTCCTGGGTCCCTGTGCCCCAGGTCAGGGCACACCGTCCTCTAATTGAGGACACACACTTGTACACGGACCTCATGTGGGGCCAGCCCACCCCAGGGGCCCTTGGTTATTTTTATCTCTGGAGCAACTGCCCGGGGAGGGGACAGGAGAGACCCAGAGGAGGCTCTGCCATCCTCAGGTGTCTGAACTAGTCCACAGGTCATCTGGTCAGTATATGCACCCTTGTGCCCATTTGCCAGATTAGGAAACTGAGACTCAGAAAGGTGTGAGGCAGTGGGGCTGGGACACCCAAAGCACCACCCAGATGACAGGAAGCTGGAGGCTGGACCCCACGCCACCCCAGCGGGGACCATAAACATCCAAACGAACACACAGGTCACCTCCACCCACCACCCCTGCAGCCCAGCCCGGGGCCCTGCCAAGCCCAGTCCTGGAACCAACCTGTGATCTTGGGGATGCCCTCCAGCCGGGGCACAGGCAGCAGGACGATGATACCCTGGTCAGTGCCCACCCAGAGCAGACCCTGGCAGATCAGGAGGCTGGTGACACACAAGTGCTTCTGGCCTGTGGAGAGAAGGAGACCACATGAGAGGGCCCTCCTTGGGGACAGCAGTGGGCGCTGGGCATGGCCACTAGGTGGGAGTGGCACAGCCTGGGCTCCTCCCGAGAGAAGCATGATGCTGAACTGCTGTGCTTTAGCTCTGGGGCCAGGGGCATGGGCCTGAGTCCCCCAGCCGAGCCTCAGTTTCCCCGTGTGAAGTGGGCTGCCTTCAGGCCCACAGGACACATGAGCTCCCAGCAGCCCATGCCAGGGTCACGGCCAACAGGCCAGGCTACAAGGCCGGGGAAGGCTTCCAACCCGCAAGGGCGAAGCAGAGGCTGGGTCAGAAAGTGGTGCCGGTTGGCAGTCTGTGTGGCCCCTCCACAAGGCACAGCTTCCAGCCCGGACTGACATTTTGCCCAGGCAGGGGAGACTTTCATCCCACTGTCCCGTGAGTTAGAGGAGTCGAGGGATACCACACAGAATCTGGCAACCACGCGTCCAACAGGTGCTATTTGCAGCCATGGCTGCTGCTGTCGGTCCTGACCAAGGGGTTGGGTGAGAGGGAAGCTGGGAGTGGAGGGCGGGTGGGAGGACAGCTCAGCACAGGGACGGGGCATAGCAGTGGGCCCGGCCCTCCCAGGCTCCTGCGGAGTCCCTGGCTCCTGCCTTTCCAAAGGGCTGTCTTCGTCTTGCCCTGATCCTGGCTCCCTGAGAAGGCTTCATCCTCCCCTCGAAGGAAATTCAAATCCACGCCGTGTATCGTGGTGACCAGGCCAGGGTGTGTGTGTGTGACATGAGGCCTTGGACAGCGGTCCTCAGACCCGGGTTCACATCAGCATTCCTGGAAGGCTGGCCACACAGACTAGGGGAGGCTGCGCCCTAGAAAGTCCCAGGCCCACGGACTGCACTTCCTGAGACTCTGGGTCATTCCAAAACCCTCGTACACCTGCTCCCACCCGCCGTCAGCTCTGAAACAGCTGCGATGGCTGCAAGACATGGTGTGGTACCCAGTTCCCCGCTGCAGATGCTGAGGTTCACGGAGAACCCCGCTGGCGTGTGCTGGGGGGAAAGTGCGAACGACATCAGGTCCACATGACAGGGACACGTGCTCTCCCGGCACGGCAGAGTCTCGAAGGAGGACGCGGCTCACCTCCCTCCTGGGCTACACAGCGCTGTCTAACCCAGGTTTCCCATCTACCCACTCGGCACCCAGGAACACCCCAGGTGCTACTGTGTGCAGCTCTGAACTCAGTGCCTGAGGCACAGCTGGGACCACGCGAAGTCCCTGCTCTAGACCTCTCAGCGGCAGTGGGAATGCTCTCTCCCTACCGTCCCATTCAGTGGCCGTGGGCAGCACGTGGCCAGGGAGCAGTGGAGACACAGCCAGAGGAATACAAGAAGGAATTCTTTTGTTTGTTTGTTTTTGTCTTTTTTTTCTGGTACCAAGAATCGAACTCATGACCTTCCACTTGCCAGGCAGGCGCTGCGCTGCTGAGCTAAATCCCCAGCCCATGAAGGAATTCTTCACATTATTTTAATCTTGGCTACTGTATGAGATAGCACAGTCCTGGAGGAGGAAAGAAGGAATATACAGGCAAGGCAGAGCACGAGGAGGCAGCATGAAGCTGCTACCAGGAAGGCAGTGTGTGCAAAGGCCCTGAGACAGAATGAGCTTAGTTGGTGGAGTAGAATGAAGCCAGCACAGCTCAGGGACATGGAGGGCGCAGAGTCAAGAGGACAACAGGGGTGATCAGCAGGATGGACAGGGCAGGGGAAGAGCATGAGTCATCATGCTGACCACAATGAGAAGCTACCAGAAGATCTAAGCAGGAGATAGAAGTGATAGGATTTCAGTGGAGCACTCTGGATGCAGGTGTAGGGCCCGGTGACCTGTGAGGGGCTACTGCAGCTGCCGTAGCAGATGATGACAGCTGTGACACGGTGGCAGCAGTGAGCTGATGAGAGGCCAACACATCTGGGATGTGCTCTGAAGCAGAAGCACAACTCTGTGGACACACTGGAGCGGGAGGAGAGACAGGACAGAGATCCGGGACAGCGCCAGCCAGCGTGTACTGGTCCTGAGCAGTGGGGCCGCGCTGTGGGGCTGACAGCCGGGCAGCTGAAATCAGCATGTGTGGCTGAGACCCAAACCAGACAGCCAGGCAGAGCCAGCCACAGGCAGAGGGGCAGCGCTGCAAACTCCACAAGTCACGTTCCCTGTGCAAACCACACCGAAAACAGCCCGAGGGACAGGGGCTCCACAGGAGGGCCGATTCTCACACACGGTGTCGGAGGTCAGTGGAGCTGAGACTGCTTCTCACACCTGCCAACCAGAAGGGACGGCCAGGAACCACAAGGACGGGCAGCCTCCCTCCTAGCCAGTGGCGGCCAGAAGGAGTCAGTCAGGGCCCAGCTCCATCCAGCTCCCTGTCCCCACTCCCTGCCCTCTCTTCTCCACATAAGTCAAGGTCTGAAGTTCTGCTCTTGATTTTTGTCTGCCCTCCCAAATGTAAGCTTCCTGAGGGCAGCAGCCCAGGGTAACTGCAAGGCTCATTCTCCAACGCCTGGCCAAGGACCTTGGCTCACAGTGGAAACTCAGAAAGCATCTGAGTGAATGAGCTGATGGGTGGATGGATGGATGGACAGATGACGGATGGATGGGATTGATGGATGGATGGATGGATGGATGGATGGACGGATGGATGGATGGACGGACGGACGGATGGATGGATGGATGGATGGGTAGATGGATGGATGGATGGGATGGATGGATGGATGGATGGTGGATGGATGGATGGATGGATGGATGGGATGGATGGATGGGATTCATGGACGGATGGGTGGATGGATGGATGGACGGATGGATGGATGGATGGATGGATGGGATGGATGGATGGGTGGATGGATGGATGGATGGATGGATGGATGGATGGATGGGATGGATGGATGGATTGATGGGATGGATGGATGGATGGATGGACAGATGATGGATGGATGGGATGGATGGATGGATGGGATTGATGGATAGGTGGATGGACGGGCAGATGATGGATGGATGGACAGATGTTGGATGGATGGGATGGATAGATGGATGGATGGGTAGATGGATAATGAATGGAAAGAAGTGGAAAAAGACATCAGTGTTGATGTCTTTTACCAGTTGTGTGAATTTGAATTTGCTTTCTTTCCTGAATCAACACTATTTTTTTTTTTTTTTTTTTTTTTGGTTTTTCTCCGGTACCGGGAACCGAACTCACGACCTTGCACTTGCCAGGCAGGCGCTTTGCCGCTGAGCTAAATCCCCAGCCCCTGAATCAATACTATTATATACCCATCTGTCTCAGTTTTATGATTATTAGAAAATTTACATAAATACATATACAATACACATGTGCAAACACAGTTGAACTCATAGCACTACTTAATAAATGGAGACTATCAGTATAACGCTCATGACTCAAAGGGCGTAGATACTGATGTCTTAAGATGAGTTCTATCAGAGCCAGAAACCCATAAAAACAAGAAGGCCAGAAGAGAGAGTGGCGGGGAAGTTCTCACCACCCTTTCCATGGTTGGTTGGGGCCCTGGAGACCCGCAGCAGACAGTTTCCTCTCAACTGTACACCTCCAAGTCCTGCCGGGCAACCGAAACCCCACAAATGAAGGGGAGAGAGATGAGCGAGAGCCCAAAGAGACAGCGAAGCTGAGAAACGACTTCATCTTCAGCCCTGGTTCCAGGGCCTGCCCCTCCCCCTCCGCCTGCAGGAAAAGAGCGAGGCATTTCACAAACAGTCCGAAAGGAAAAAATTCTAATGGTGGATAAATATTTTATCACAGAGACTTAATGCAGCAGTGTGCAGCTCACCCAAGCCATCTATCTGGAGATATACAACTTTAAAAAGCTCAGGCTCTCGGAGAACATTTTATTAATGACCTGTCTACTTAAAAGGAGGAGGGAGTTTAGGTTAAAAAAAAAATGCATTAATACCAGTCGGGTACTCGAGTGGAAGCAAGGGTCGAGGAAAGGCAGCGTGATAAATTTTTAACACACCCTAAAAAAAAATCCACGCTTAGAAGAGGAACAAATTTATTACTAATTATGCAATTATTTCATTTGGTAGTGTAGGGGAAGAAAAATACTTAAAAGTCTATTTAAAATATCTCTAATAAAGAATTTAAGAATCATGCTTTGTTGATCCTCGGGGGGGCACCACGTGGGGGGATTTGAAGCTGCCCTTCAGCCTCCAGCCCCCCCCCCCATTTGGCTCAGGGGTCAGGGAGGCCCCGGCAGCTCTGAGGAGTCCCGGGCAGACCTGGCCTGGCAGGGCCCCAGGCCTCCAGCATGGCTGAGTGGGAAAGGTCAGGCCTGGGCAGCAGCGGCTGGGGAGCCCTACATCCGGGAACCTCAGCCTACACCTGGGTCTCCCCAGGGCCCAGCCCAGGGGAGGGGGCTCACTCCTGCCTGCGCTGACCTCTGATGTCACCAGAGCTCTGACATGAAGGCTCAGAGGGATCGGCAAGGAGTCCCTGTAGGAGAGCCACGGTGACAGGCTAGTGTGATGGGGTGAGGGGGCCGTAAAGATGACGCTGATGACAGTAATGTCACCACCATGGCCGGAGACCGTCCTCACACTGTCTCAAGTGGCGCCCTCACCTGCCCCGCTGGATGGGGCGTGAGGATGGTTGTGCACTAGCTTCCGGTCACGCCAGAAAGTGGCAGAGCTGGGACTCCAGCAGGAATTCTGGTGCGGGCTCTGGGCTGCCAGATTCAGCCTAGTCCAGCTCTCTGACTCAAATCTCAGTCCTTCACTGCATAGAAGGGAAAACTGAGGCCCAGGCGCAGGGCCGGGCTGACCACCCAGGGCTGCACAGTGACTCCGCAGGGGAACAGTGACAAGAGCCTGTGGGTCCCTCCTGACTCTGGCTTTTCCTGCACGGAGATGGGGGGCAGGCTGATCCCTTAGCCTCCTGGGCCTCCGTGTACCTGGCCTCAAACGATCACACTCACTACCAGCACTGTCCTTCCTTAAAAAAGGAACAACCAAGTCAGCGGCTGTGAGCACGCGTGCCGAGCCCGTGCCACCGCGGATCAGCCATTTCCGGTCGCCTGTGGGGCTCTCCCCAGAGGCCCCTCAGCCTGCTGGATACACTCCACTCTCTCACGCCTCTCTACCCCCACAGGAGGAGAGTCTGAGGATTTAAAAAGGCCCATAAGACTATCCATTTTCCGTTGTTCCATTATCTTGAAATAATTTAGCTATCAGTAGAAATGTGGAAATATTTTTGTGATACAGAGAAATTTTTATTACAGCTAAAATGGATGAAACTTGGATAATGGATGAAGCTAGTCCCTGACTCCATGAAATACAATGAAACTAAAGGAGGAAAAAAGAAAGGAGAGAAAGAGAAGGAAAGATCCCCTAACCAGAAGTGGTAGCTCATGCCTGTATTCCCAGTACTCTGGGAAGCTGATGCAGGAGGATCACGAGTTCAAACCCAGCCTGGGCAACTTAGCCACTTAGTGAGAACCTTCTCAAAATTAAAAAGCAGAAGGTGGGGGCGGTGCTGAGGCTGTAGCTTGGTGTGAAGGCCCTGAGTTCAATCTCTGCTACTTAAAAAACAAAAAAGAGGGGCTGGGGATATAGCTCAGTGGCACAAGTGCCTGCCTGGCAAGTGCAAGGTCCTGAGTTCGATTCCTGGTACCAAAAATAAAGCAAAACAAAAAAGACTCCAAACAAGGTTCCTCCCAGCCTCTCCACCCCAGGGAGAATGGTGGAGAGGCTCTCACCTGGAGCCTGTCACATTGAGACTTCAACAGGTACCTCCCCAGCCCTGGTGGCATCTACCCCTACAGCCACATCCCACCGCAAGGAGGGACATCCCACCTCCAGGACAGGAAGGGACTTGCCTGAGACCACATGTGGCTGAGCAGGACTCAGGCCACCCCTGAAGCTGTGCTCGTTCCTGTAACTCGCAGTGGGACCCTGAAGTGAGTCCATGCAGATGTGACAGGACACGGGCTCCTCCTCTGGCAAATCGCAGTGTCTACATCTGTACCCTGGGGATAATCGCTGCTCAAGGGGTTCCAGTGAACCGAGGTCCTGCCCAGAAAGCTCAGGGTTCACAGCAAAGCTCCACATTGTTATTATTTATTAGTGAACGCCCCCAAGGGGGCCAGCTCAGACCATAGGACAGCCGTGCGTGCCCAGGGGTAAGCAGCCAGTGTGACAGCTAGGTCCCCAGCTGGCTGAGGTGCCTGCCTTCAGCCCAGCCCCATAATCGGGCAAATCTGTCCCAGCTCAGGGAGCGGCTTCTCCCAGCCCTGCCCCTCCGCCGGGTCCCCAGCCCCAGGGCTTTCTACCTTCCCAGCTGATGGACAAGAACCGCCAGAGCTGGCGGCCACAAGGGGCTCTAAGGCAGGTGGGATGAGCAGGAGCAGAGGCGGCTGTCTGCCCGCCCTGGTGCCCCCCAAGCACACCCCCTGCGTCTTAGCAGCAGATTAAGGGGGGCTTGGGTAGGGCAGCGGTGGAGTGAGGTGAGCTCCGGGCACCACTCCTCACCTATGGCTTTGCAGGAGGAAGCATAGGCCGCAAGAGGCCACCCCAAACTCCTGGTCTTCCCAGCCTCCAAACCCACCGGCCTGCAAATCGAGGACGCACGCCTTCTCTAGAAAGTCCCTAAGGAGAGATGTCACGATTGGTCTTCCCTCTTCCCTTGCTCTCACCCTGCCGGGGATCTGAGGCAGAGCTGGTCTTTGAGTCAACCTGAGCAATGGGACACTACGGACCACCTGGGGTCCTGCCCGGCTGGTCCTTCCCACGAGCCACCTCCTGAGAGCCAGGCTGCTGGGCTGCAGCGCAGGGCACACACGGAGACAGGAAGAGGCGCTCTGGGAGGGCAGATGGGTGTGAATCCCAATCCCGCCACTTCCTGCCCTCCCCCTGCCCCGGGAGCCCAGGACGCACAGCCAGTCCACCCTCACCCGGTGCCCATGACTGTGCAGTCTCACCTGGCAGCAGGAAGGTGGTCCTGGTGGCAATGTTGATCTCCTGCAGGTGCTCCAGGGTCTCAGTATGGAAGAGGCGGATGGAGGAGCCGGAGGAGAAGGCCATCCACACGCCGCTGCCCGCCTTCACCATGTGCGTCACGCTCACCGCCTCGTCCTGGTGCGCCTCGAAGCTTTGCTGGGAACAGAGGGAGCATTGGGGCGGGCCCAGGCCGGTCCCAGCGGCTTCCCCAAGCCCCGCCGCCCGCTGGGACTTGCCCAGCCTGAGCAGAGTCAGGCCCAGAAGGGGCTGCAGCATGGCTGAGGTGAATGTCCAGCAGAGGCGAGAAATGTGGGCCACTGGGTTGGCCAATTCCCAGGGTGTAAATACTACTGACATGGCCAGGCTGGGCTAAGGACACGGCAGCCACACTCGGCTCCCACACACCAGGACTCCTTCCCCTGGCCTCAGCTCACAGCAGGGAAGGATGCAGCAGTCAGTGAAAGAAGCCACGGTTTATGCACAGAACTTAAAGCGCCCACAGCAACCTGCAGAAATACGGGGGCAGGGAGGCCGGAAGTGGGAGCCAGGCCCTTGCCTTTCACAGCGGGCTCAACAGATGAAGTCCAAGCAGCCAGACCAAGAGGCAGCGGAGGAAACAGGGTCAGGGGCAAGAGCCAGTGGATTAAAGACGGAACAGGTAGAAAGCATCTTCGAGGGAGCCGGGTCAGGATACACAGGGGAAGGGCCTTTCAGGATAAGCCATTCCATGCTGCTTGTTTTTTCTCCTTATAGGAACAAGTATAACTTTGAGCTTAAAACAAATACTTCCCCCCTCCCTTTTTAAAAGAGCATACAAATGGTCAGGTTTTCCGTCCATTGCAGGAGAAAGTTCAAACTCCTTAACTCAGCATTCAAGGCCCTGCTCAGCCCCAACGCCAGCCAATCCTTGCAAGCTCCCTATGCTGTGGCCCTGGCTGAGGCCCAGGATGCCCCATCCAGCCACCCTTCTGCCCTCTCGATGCCCTGTCCACAACACGCATCACTTGTCATCCTTCTAGGACTGAAGATGCCACCTCAGGATGACACCCCGATGTCCCTGTCTCACGAAGCCTGCCCCATCCGCTCCTAGGCCAGCCGTGTCCTTCTGAATGGCGTCTATTGCTGTGAGCGCAAGGACACCTGCACCACGTGGCTTTGCTCTGCTGCCCCCACCCCGGACTCCAAGGTCAAGACAGAGCCCCTTGGCCTTTAGCGCTTCATGCGGCACAAGTCCCAGGTGGCACGGGGAACGCTGGCAGACACTGCACGGTGGACATCTGGATTCCACCTCCAACCCTCAGTGGTGACTGCGTACAGATGACTCCAGCACAACCTAGATGCCCAGCCCCGGGGGACAGGTGTGACCCAGCCTCCTGGGGCCACCCTCCTCCACTTCACATCATAGTTACAGACGCCCCGTGATGAACACAGGAAAATGTGGACGCTGTAGTCGCACGTAAGAAGGAAATGTGTCCACATCGCAGGAGGAGGAGGAGGAGGGAAAGGGTGAAGGACTGCCACGGCTGCCTGGAGCGTCTCTCCATTCCAGTGTCCTGGTTTTCCACAGACTCTATACAGAGTATGAACTCGGTAGAAATTGGAAACCGCAGGGAGACGCTGGACAGAAAATACTGGACTCAGACCTGCTATTAAATCTCATTTCCTCAATAGCTGTGACTCAGTTTCCTCATTTCTATGCGGACATCATCCTGAGGAGCCCTGCAGCTTGCCAGGGGCCCAGTGCCCAAGGGCCTCATTCCTTCAAAAGATGTTCTCAAGCACCTACTATGTGCTGCCATGAGTCTATGGGCTAGAAATACAGCAGGGGACAAAAAAACCATTGGGACCCAAATATTCTCTGCAGAAGACAATTAAAACAAATAAGAATTCCTCTAAGCAGTGATAATTCCCAGACAGAAAAACACTGGAGGCCACTAAAATTGGGTGGTCAGGGAAGGTCCTTCTGATGTAAAGGACAAAGCTCTGGGATGACTGGAAGAAGCAGGTGAGCCTTGCAGGCAGAGGACACAGCAAGTGCAAAGGCCCTGAGGCAGGGAGGAGAATCAGAGAGGCTTCGGGGGTCACAGTGGTAAGACTGAGTTTGGTGAGCTGGGTAGAGGCCACCTCCCACCAGGCTGCCCACAGTTTGTGGTAAACAGTTTAGATTCTATTTATGTGCTGCAGGGAGTGGACCTGGTAACTGGGTTTACTTTCAAAGAAGTATGGTATGACAACTATATGGCAAGAGGCTGACTCCTGGTCTGGGGACAGCCAGAGGCTTACCTTCCTCTCCTGCACCCCAGGCTACTCAGAGGCAGGTCCACTGCGCAGCAGTGATGAAGGTAGGGCCCCCATCAGGCTGGGCAAGCTCAGAAGACAGGGAACACCTCCTCCCTCAGACTGGGGCTCACGCTAAGGGCCCCTTCCAGGAAACCACAGGTGGCCTGCTATGTTCCCAGCCAGCCTGCAGCAGGGCCCAGGAGGGGACAGGAGAGCTCCCAGCAGCCTTGCTGGAAAGGCAGCCACGGCAGCATCACCCCAGGCCGAACGGACGCTCTCTGCACCTGCAGTCAGCATACAGCTGGACAACAGATGGGGCAGCACCACGGCAGGGAACACCCAGCATGTTTGGCTACATACTTTTCCAGGGAGCAGCATCCCCCCCTTGCACGCGAATGCACCAAAACACACACACACACCAACAGAGAGGCATCTGTGTGCATCCAGCTCCAGAGGAGCGGTTAGAAGCACTTCCTGCCTTAGCAAAAGCCCAGCGCCCTGGAACCAGAATCCAGACCACCAAAAGCTGTACCTGTGTTTGCAGCCAGTGCATTGCTGTCAGAATCTAATTAAAAGAGAAGTCAGCGGCGGAAACCCAGGCGCATTTCTCCAGGGGCAAAACGAGTCTGTCTCCAGACCCAGGGGCTCCGCAGAGACCTGTGCCAACCTGCCAACCCACAGGGGCGAGGCAGGTGGGGAGGCAGGGACAATCGGGAGGGACGCCAGAGCAGCTCCAGCCCCAGCCCTCAGGCCACAGTCGCCCCTGGGACCCGGGCCCACTGAGCCTCCTCCAGGGCCCCTGCTCAATCTAGGAGCCCAAAGCCAGGAGCAAGGCTGGGAGTCCTAGCTGTGCCTCCTGGGTCCACAGGACAAGCCAGGGAAATGTGCCGCCATCATGGGTCCCAGTGCCCAGCAGCTCCAGGGGAGAGCAGGTGGCGGAGGGGCCTAGTCCTCACCGCCACTGAGCGCAATTGCTGACGAGCAGCGCAGCTTGGTTAGTTTACCACGTCAGAAGCTCAAACCGCACAACTGAGGGAGGCCGCCAGCTAGCAAGCCCCGCCCTCCCTCCAGCCAGGCTCTGCAACTCCTGCCCATGTTGCCCACTTATCACCTCTGGTCTTGGCTTTTAGGAGCAAAGGCTGCCAGACCCTCCAGCAAGCCTCTTCCCACCTCACCCTTGAAGAAGGGTACTTGCCCACCTGCCACCAGCTCAGTTACCTATGGGTCTCAAAAGCCCTTCTGGTCCCTGGGGCCCAGGTACAGCTACTGACCTCATCCCCCACCCCAGGAACTGTCTCTTACGATTCTGTATCAGCTCAGCTGGACAGACAAGGACCTTGCAGTGACGTCCAGCTAGCCACCATGTTGGTAAATCAAGCTGCGCTAGAACCCAGTCACACCCCCCACAGCACTGCAACCACGGGCACCGGTCCTTGCTTAAGCATGGAGAGATCTGTGAGCAGACCCTGGGCCTTCCCTGACAGGCCTGGGGCACTGTGGTTCTGATACGATGCTGAGTGACCAGGACACGTGGTGCTACTGGGAATCAGCGTTTGCACAGATGGAAAAGAGTCGAGGGGGATGACAGAGGTGAGGGTGCAGCGCTGGGGGCCTCAGAGTTGAATTAGGGAGACGAGCACCCCAGAAAAACAGGAGACTGGGGCACAGAGAGCAAGAGCAGAGCCTCGAATTTCCCCAAATGCCAAAAAGCAAAGCAAAGAATGACGGGACATCCAAAGGGCCCAGGAGCCACTGCGAAGGGGCCCATTGGCCAATTCAAGACAATCCGAGTTGTCAAAAATACTCACGCTGCTCCTGGGGTCCAGAGCCTCTGCGTGTTATAAAGAATCCAGGGCTTTGTAGGAACATAAAAGGGAGACAGGTGCGAAAGAGATGGGGAACCCTCAGCTAGTGGCAGCGGTAAATGAGACAGGGCGGCAGAATGAGGCCATCGTAACTTTGCAACCACCAAAGGATCATGGGTGGGTGGCGGAACCCCCGCCGGAGGTTTGCTGAAGGGCATTTACACGGGTCCAAGAGCACCAGCAGGTGACACAGTGACTGCACAGGGAACGCTTTCCATGGGGAGACCGACCGCCCCCCACCTTCCCCGGGTGACAGGGGGCTGTGATGCTATGAAACACACCCAAGCCCGTCGGGTCTGGGTGAAACACAGGGCAATTCCCAGCTGTGCAAGATCTTTTATGAGGCGCTGGCTTGGGCTTCTCAAAAGAAGTCAATATACAAAGGGGCAAAAGGGAAGCATCACACCAGGTGCAAGGAGACGGAGGAGATAGAACCAAACAATGTGTGATCCTGGCCCAGGTGGGGACTGAGAAGCTAGGAAAGGTGCTTTGAGGACAAGCGCGTAAATGGGTATCTGGGCAGAACGTAATCTCAGCACACTGGTGTTAATGCTGGGTGTGATACGCTGTCATGGTGACTCGGCCACATGGTATGATGGGATTTATGAAGTTGTGGGGCAAAAGGCAAAAGTATTAAAAAGAAAAAAAAAAAGCTGGCAGCCAGAGGCCCGGGCCCAGCACCTCGCAGCCCAGTGACTCAGTCTCTAATCTCATCGATAATCAGGGACAGAAAGAAAAGCTGCCTCGCTGGGGGCCGTGAGGACCCACTCAAGCAGAACACACGGCATGCTGGCTGCGCAGGTCTGGTGGGGCCAGGGTGGCAGGAAGCGTGGGGCGCCCCCACCCACAGCGCCCCATCTGGCACCTTTCAGCCACCCAGCTGCACCCGCCCCGAGGGTTCCAGGTGAGCGATCCCGCTCCAAGATGCTGACGCAGCCCAACCTCGCGTCTTGCAGTATTTATGTCCCTCCAGGTGACGCTTCTGTGTGCATTTCCCATAAATTCCCAGGG